ATTGTGGGGCTGGCGCAGGATCGGGCAGTGTTTCGTTCTGCTGTGCATGGGGTCGCTATGAGTCGGAAATGACTCGACAGCACTTAACAACAACACAACAACAAGACCATATGTTTTCCTTCTTTGGATTTGCTTACAGGGATTGTTAATTTTCTCTGTGTTACCCTGAAGTGAATTCTTGTCTCTTTAATTTTGGAATAGTCTGTTCTATAAGGACATTATCCTGTCTTCCTCTCTATTTGGAAGTTTTGTAATTAGAACTTCTATTCTCTCTATTTGCTTTGTGCTTGTGTCTGCTGCAGATTGACTCCCTTTTTTTCTCTGTATATAATGTTTTATGAGCTTATTTTAAGCATCTATTTCTGGTTTGTTTTTTAAATGTTGATATCAAGTGTCCTTATTTTAATTTGTCATTCTCTGTTGTGGATTCTCTATTGGAAGGACTCCCTTTAGCATTTCCTGTAGGGTTGATCTGTTTTTCACAAATTCCCTTAATTTCTGTTTGTCTGAGAATGTCTTGATTTCACCCTCATATTTGATGGACACTTTCACTGGATATAGAATTCTTTGTTGGAAGTTCTTTCTGTTCAGTGTTTTATATATGCTGTTCCATTGCCTTCTTGCATGCATGGTTTCTGCTGAGTAATCAGAATTTAGCCTTATTGTTTGTCCATTGTAGGTGACATTTCTGTTTTCCCAGGTTGCTCACAACATTCTTTCTTTGTCTTTGGTTTTGGAGAGTTTGCTTATAATATGTCTTGGTGACTTTCTCTTGGGATCTATCCTATATGGGCTTTGTTGCACTTCTTGGACAGATATCTTTTCTTCCTTCATGATATGGGGAAAATTTTCTCTTAGCAAGGCTTCTACAATTTTCTCAGTGTTTTTTTTTTCCCCCTCTTCTTGTTCCAATATTCCAATGAGGCATATGTTGTTTCTTTTCATGTCATCCCATGTAACCTTTAGGTTCTCTTAATTTCTCTTAAATCTTTGTTCTGATTTTTCTTCATATGGGCTAGTGCCAAGGGATTTGTCTTGTAGTTGGAAAATGTTTTCTTCAGCCAGTTCTAGTCAGTCTACCCTTTTGTCCTTCCACTGTGTTGTCTAACTATGTAATTTTAGTGTTTATCTTCTGGATTTCTAATTGCTATTTTGAATGAGTTCTGATTGTGTATTAATCTTGTTTTTTTGTTCTTGAGTGGTTTTCCTAAATTCTTCCAGGGTACTGTCTGTGTTCTCTTTGGTTCTGTTTATGGTTTCCTTGAGTTTTTGTTGTTGTTGTTGTTGTTGTTGTTGTTGTTATGTGCCACCGAGTCGGCCCCGACTCATAGCGACCCCTCCTTGGGTTTCCGAGGCAGTATCACTATGGAAGTAGGATTGCCCAACCTTCCTTCCGAGG